TTTAGAGGGAGGCAGAAATAGTGGAGTCAGCTAAGGACACTGAGAGGAAACAGTTATAGCAGTAATAGCAAACATATGCTGTTGGAAGACAGGGAGGAACGGAAGGAAGGAGAAGCTGTGGCCAACAGTGCCAGATGTTGCTGAGAGAGATCAAGTAAGATGACAATTGGAAACGAGTTTACTGGGGAAATGAAGAGATCATAATCTCTGCTAAAGGAGATACCTTGGGTGTGGCAGTGGTGGGGTCTAAGACTTCAGTGGGTTAAAGAACGAATGGAAAATCCCCAGACATACAGCAGATCAGGTCTTTGAATAAATTATCTCGTTAAAGAACACCAACTGCTGGATAAAATATTTCAAACACCGTAATTTAAAAATGTGTGGCTGAACTAGATGTTGGAAATCCTCAAAGGTCAGAAAGGAAGAGCTGAGTGAGACCTGGAGCTGGTGTTTGCTCTGGAAATAGCCACCAATGTTGGGTGACCTAGAGCTTGGGTCTAAATAAAGGCTCTGTGTATGAGGTCAGGAAACCAAGTGTAAAGCCTGCACAAAGATGGGAATTTGTACCGGACCTTCTGAAAGGGGACCCACGATGGGTGAACTAGGAAAAAAGCTACGCCACACATGGGAATGGTAGGGATACTTGCTATATCACTTTTGTATTGCAGCATGACAAATAAGGACCGCATTTATCATCTCGGTTTCTGTGTGTTAGAGGTGGGGCACAGCTTAGCAGGGTTCTCTGCTTCAGGGTCTCACCAGGCTGCAGGCAGTTCAGGTCATTGGTTGGGGCCTTGGTTTCATCAGATCCTCTTGCAAACTCCCTATTTGCTGGACGAATTCATTTCCTTTCAGCTGTCTATGACTGAGGGCCCCAGCTTCTTATTGGCTTTCAGCTGGAGTCTGTCCTCAGGTCCTAGAAGTCACCTTTATTTTTCTCCTCCTTATAGCTGGGCTTTTGAACAAAATACTCCCAAGAGCAGCAATGTCCTTGCTATTGCTGAGTCGAAGGGACACATCGTGGCCCTTGTCTTACTTGACCTCTTAGCAAGTTTCCAAAGCACTTTCCTCCTTTGCCTGCTTGATCTCCATCTGACCTGAGGAAGCCTTCCTTTCTCACTCTATACTATTTTCCTAGGTTATTTCATCCATTCCCAGGACTTACTATCTATGTGCTACTGATGCCTTAGTTTATGCTTCTAGCCATAACTTTACTAGAACTTAAGCTCATTTCCTATATGTCACCATATGGCTAATTCACTCATATTCAATATATTCCATTCATATTCAGCAATATTCATATTTAATATATTTGATACTCAGTCAATAAAACTGAATGCAGTACCTTCTCCCTTGACACTTGCTCCTTCTCATCTGTTCTGTCAATGAACAGTACTACCACAGCCGGAAACCTGAGACAATTTGCACACTTCTCTCAAACTCACACTCCACTCTCCTCCTGATACGCAAGTCTTGTCAATTCAAACTATAAAATCCATGTCAAATCTACTTTTTTTCCTCATTATCACCATTCTCTCTCAAGCCACCTAGACAACTGATGGCTTCCTAACTGCTCTTGCCATCCACTCTGTCCTCCATTGTCCTCCAAGGGTTAGAGTTGTAAAAAGAAAACACAACGAAACTTAAGGACGAATATGCAGCGGAGACTGTATGCAGCTTGCAAAGTCTAAAAACTATTACTATCTGGCCCTTAAGAAAAAGAGTTTGCTGACCGGTATTTTAATACATTACTCATACTTTCCTCGACTTAAAATTTTACTGGCTTCCCATTCTTTTAAAAAACATAAGTCTTTACCATGGCCACAAAGGCCATAAACCTGCAGAATCTGGACAAGCTGTCTCCAGCATCATCCCTGGCACTCTACCCTTCCCTTTCTATGCTCCAGTGCTGTTTTTCAAGGTGCCAGGCTCTCTCTCATCTCGGGATCTTTGTATAAGAGGTTTCACCATCTCTTTATCCTTCAGATATCAATTTAAGTATGATTTGTTCCAGAAGAACTTTCACGATCTCCTGTACTAGATTAAATTCACTTATTATATGGGCCTCTATCACCCCATAGTTGGAATATTAGGAACACGTATTGTTCAATGTCTACATTGCTAGACTGTGAGCTCTGTGGACAGATACTATATTGTCTTACTTGCTATATCACTTGATATAGAAGCAAGTGTCAAGGGACTTTTGAACAGTGCCTGACTCACTGTAATTTTTATAAATGATTGCTGAATGAGCTGTTTCCCCATTGAAAAACTTCATTCTTTCAAAGTCCATCCTTATCTTTCTTGCTTTAATGGAAGTTTCCCTTCTGTTGAAGGCTAATTCCTCAACTTGTCATCTGAATATCATACTCCAGCTTAAGGATTTTACATCTATCATCCCTCTGTTACCTTTTTCATCCTCTTCCTTTTATTGGCTCTTTCTTCACAGGTATTATTTGTTCAAGCCTCTCATCCTAAATCATTCCCTTGAGCCCACCTTTGGCTCCCTCTAGTTACTATCCCGTATCTACTGGAATGAGTGGCATTCTGGAAGTGATTCTTCATTGGTCTATTTCCTCACTGCCTTTCAATCCTTGAACACCACTAAAATCTGTCATCTGTCACTGCCATTCAACCATAACCACTCTAAGGGCCACCAAAGATCTTCGAGCTATTAACTCTAATGGGCGCTTTCTGTTCTTTCAATCTCCCCAAAAAATTTGCTCTTTCCACATTAAACTCCACTCTCTTGACTTCATGACAATCCTCTCTCCTGGTTTTACTTCAATGCTGGCCGTTCTCTCTTTTGCAGAATCCTCTTTTTCTGCCATTTCTCCAACACTAATGTTCTTTCATGGCTCTATACTTAGCCACATTCTTTTTCTTGAAACACAGTTCCTCCTATATTCTAAATCACAGTGAATAGTCTTTTTCTTCTCTCAAATAGGAAACCCATGACTCAACTTAATTCATCCCTTCTTACATATTCTCCCCACTCATCCTACTAATGTTGCCTTTAGTATGTCTCAATTCTTTCCTTTCCATCCACACTGCCAAGGAAGGCCTTTAGTTAAGATCTTCAATGTCCTTTAGCTAGAATGAGCCAACATCTTCTCCAAACTATCTTCTATTGTTGCTAGTGATTTTTCTGAAACAAGAATCTAACCATTCCTCTGTTTAAGACCTTTTCATTGGCTTCTCTGTCCTCAGAACAAGATCTAACTTCTAAGCATAGAATTTAGGGACCAAGTATAACTCCTATTTATATTTTACTCTTGAACTTCTTGAGTTTAAAAAGTTACTCTCCTACACCAGCTTCTCTACAATCACAAATGCTGCTCCATCTGCCCGGGACTCTAATTCCCACTCTTAGCTAACTTCCTCTCTCAAACGCCCACCTCTTTTTCTAAACTGTCACCTTTCTGCTATCTCCATTTAATTAGGTGCCTTCATTGACTTCCTGGGACTAGGATTTTTGCTTTAAGTATTACTCATTCAGGTTAACATTTGATGGGACAGTGGTGGTTTGTAACATCAATTCAATTAGGCTGAACTGTACTGTACAAAATTTGCTTCTCGGATGTTCTAGTAAGAGTGAGCCACAAGAGATGCTTAGATTTCAACTGCCACTCTATTGCAAGATGGTAGAATAAATTACAAATTTTAGAGGACAGATGTGAAGCAGCAAACACTCTGTAGTTCATACACGTTGCTGTGATGTTAGTCCCCTAGTTTTAGCTGGACCTGCAAACTCTCAACCTTTTTCTGGATCAGCCTTCAGCTTTTCTAACCTTTGGACTAGGTGTGTGTGATAAAGGGCCTGGGGTTTTGTAGGACAATCGAGGTCTGAGGTAATAAAAACTGACAAGGATTTCAGTTTGTGATTGTGATTTCTACTCATTCCTACCCCCTCCCACTTTACATCCATTTCCTCTTCTTAACTGCCTGTTCCGTGGACCTCATGTTCCTACATCAGAAACAAAAATAGCCTTACAGAGACTGCTTAGTCAGTTCCCACGACAATGTAAAGTCAAACCCCTTACACATGAACACATATCCCAGGAGTTGCTTCTCTGACTGACTGCTGATGGTTATGACAAGCAAAACGATGAGGCTGCTCAGACTACCAAGATGGTTTGTCATTCTCCTCTCAAAGCTCACCTTGTGCTAACGTCTATTCTATTACACATTCTTATTGCCTTTCTAGTGGATTCTTAACTCTTTGAGGTAGGGATTTTTATCTCTGTATGATCAGTGAAGGGTGGTGCTTAGCACAAACTAGGTGTTTACAATTGTTAAATGAATAATTTGGAACCTCTGTTGAACCATCAGAATCTCTTTTAAGTAACAATAAAGATGTCAATCTAATTTATTGGTGGATAATGAAGTCAAATTTACATAAATTAAAATCCTAGGAAATCAGTGAAAATAGCAATTACCCACATGATACATATTTTCATACAATATTTCCTATAAGGTAAGTTGTCCATTTGTATATAAATAAATCCTTATACAAGTATGGGAAAATGAGACAAACCTACAGAAGGGCATAATTTGCTGATTTATCTGCCAGATTATTAAGAGTGATTTTATGATACACTGAGTCCATAATATTTTCTACAGATATGATAATAGTAAATGATGTGATATACAATATTTCTTTTAGTTATTTTAAGAATATTGAAAAGCTTTAAATTTCCCATGACCTATTAGCCAGAAATAGCTTACCACTAGTAACCTTAAAACAAGATTATCAGTTCAATGGCATCTTTAATTTTTACCCATATGGCAAAGATTGAAATAATATTTCAGAAAATTATGCAATCTGAAAAACCTTGTTTCAACTGTCAGTCTATTGCAAGATGGTAGAATAAATTACAAATTTAAACTGTAACTTGGTAGTCTCTAGTCAGGCACTAAATTCTATTAAAAGCAAACTGCTGAATCAAAAGTGATCATGGACCAACTTAAAATGCAGAGCAAGAAGGACAAGAAGCATCTCACTGACCAAAATATTGTTTTAATTCTCTTTCTATATGAACCCAAGCTTTTCATTTTCAGGTAAGATGAAATGAAACTTCAGTAGAACGCAGTACAGAAAGATTCTGTCCCATAGGCTAGCTTCCATTTAGTCAGTCAACTGTTTCTAGCTGTCTGGATCAGGATAGACGCATTTACAGAACTGGCTGTGCTTGGGCCTTCTTTGCAAGCAGCTTTAGATCTGCAATGCACTTGGCAATTGTCTCCTTTTCCTGTGATAAGGAGAGAAATCTGGTTAGATCTTTCCAAATCACGGAAGGGTATAAATACCACAATTCTAAAAGATACCTTCGACATGACCTTGACGGCCCTACACAATCTCAAAATGGATTGCTGGCTTAACATAATAGATTACTAGGAATTATTTAATAATTTAACAAGGGGAGATACAATTTGGTTTAAGCAAATCCAGGGAATTAGTTAAAATCCTCTGGCTCATAGCTTTTATAAGTGAAACCTATATAGAGTTTGAAGCCAGATACTCCTGTAACCACGTGCCATTGACATTAGCTTGTACAGCTAATAGCTGCTTGAAAAAGACCAACCTAACGAACATTAGTAATACAAAAATGTTAAGAATGAAAACAATTGTAATCCCTTTTCTGTACTTTTTTGTATTTATCGAGTTTCTTATATATTATTTTTATTTAAAAGGGTATTAAAAATATTAAATATTTTAAAAATTAAATATACTATATATCTGGGAAAGAAGAAATCGTGGCATAAATTAGTAAATGAAAAACATCGAAAAAGAAAATCAACTTTAGATAAATAATATAAAACATTTCTTTTCTGTTCAAGACCAATAAATCGGGTGGCTAGAAAGAGAAATGGAATGAAAATCATGGAATTATTAAACGGAAGGAACTCAGATACAGCCTTGTCCAGTCTGTTTTACAGAAAAATTAAATATGTTGGTTAATGTTTCTCCCAAATGATGGAACTTGAACACAAGTCTGCCACAACCAGTGTTCTGAACAATCTTTCCCACTGTTTTGACATATGTGGTCAGAGACCCTTAAACTTTCAGGATGGAGAAAAGTACCACGGCAGTGGTGCAGCATTTTCAAGGTTGCCCCCATCCAGAAAAATGAACCGGGGCACCCCACTGACTCTAGGCTAAAGACTCCTTGCCAGCTATTCCTATCCTAACAGAGCCATCAGCAGATGCTTGTCAGAGATAGCAATACAACTCCAGAAGCGTCAAACATCATGTACCTGCTGTGCAGAGATGCTCTGTACCACGTGCTTCTCCACCCAGTTTATCATGTGTTCTTGCTCCTTTCGACGCATCATATTCTGCACAGAGATATGGTAGTCCAGGCGACTCTTTACCTCCTTGTACACTCTATGCAGCCGTTCCCGGTAAGTAACCTCCAAGGCCATAGCAATGTTATTCTGAAGCAAAGTTAAGAATGATAAAAACTATCTGCATAGTTGAAAGAGCATTTCCATTCTGAGGATTCTGCCAATTAGAATACCCAATCACTTTCTTGCATTTTATGGAAAATTCTTTAATTTAATATGAAGATAACACAGACACATGGTAAAAAAAATCTAACAGCATATGGTAAAAATATATACAGTAGTAAGTCTCCACTGCCAACCCTCCCATAGGCCACCAACTTCCTACTTCTCGGATCCCCACCCAGAAATATTTAATAAACAAAATGTAAGTATATGCACACACACACACACATCACTTTTACTAATCATGACATGTAGACCCACCTCAATTTTAAAAAGTTACATTGGATTCTACAATATCGGTGTCCCGTAATTCACAATTTATTTAAGCTCTGTTAATAGATTAGGTTGCTTCCAATTTTTTCTACTATACATAATACTTCATATATTTTATACATCTTTGCACTTACTTGTGAATACTTGCTGGATCAAATAACAGCTAACATCTGTTGAGTACTACTATGTTCTAAACACTGTGTGTCAATTCAATTAAGTCTTACAATCACACTATGGGATAGTTACTATTGTTACATCATCTTACAGTGAAAAAACTGAGGCAGAAGCTAAGGAACTTGACCAAGGTTACAGAGCTAACCTTGTGAAGCCAAGATCTGAATATAAGGAGTTTAGGCTACAAAGCCCGTGCTATTAAAAATCCATTTTAAACTGTGATTAACATTGTCAATGGCCACAGAAGAGTTGTACCACTTCATTCTCTTACTAGCAACACGAATGTCTATTACTCCAAACCCTGACCAAGTGTTTATAAAACCTTTTACTCTCCACTATTCTGATAAGCAGGATATCAATTTTAATTGTCGTTACCTGAGAAAATTTACATATTTAGAAGGTATTTACATTTACTTATTTTTTTATGAATTATCCATGTCCTATGTCCTGGGATGTTAGTCTCTCTTAAGGTAACTACCCTTTTGTGTCACATGGAATGCATGTATTAACTTTGTTTCTGGTATTTGTTTCTGGTCACCAAGAACCTCCATGCTGCTAAAGCTTATGGCAAATTCTCAAGCCCTTTATAATTTGTAGGGTGACTACAAATTGAAATAGCCCTTATTTTCACCTGTTTTCTTCCTCGTTTTCCAGTCTTATGGCTTTAAGTACCACCTGTAAGCTTCTGATTCCCAAGTGCCCAGTTGGGAGTTCTCCCCATCATATAATCAATGGTCTACCTAACAACTCTACTTTGCTAACTCATAAGCATTTCAAACCAATGCATACAAGACCAAGGCTATTAGCAACAAGGCAATCAAAGTGACTCTTCAAAACCTAAGTGAGATATCACTCCTCTGCTTAAAAGCTTCAATAACTTTCTTTCCCATTCAGAGTTCTCACAGACGTCTCTAAGACTACATAATACAGCCCTGACCGCGCTCTACCTTGCTTCCTCTTCTTCTCCCTCTTACCCTTTCCACTTGAACTACATTGGCCTCCTGACCTTTCCTTAACCATACCAAGCAAGCTTCCAGATTTAGAGCCCTTGCAATTGTTCTTCCCTCTGCCTAGAATATTACTTCCCCAGATATCCACACAGTTCTCTGTTCAAATATCACATTAGAGGCCCTTTCTAGGGTGCCCCCACAAAAAACAGTAACTCCCATCTTCTAAAATCTCCTTCCCTTTGACAGTAACTTATTTATCTATATAGCCCTTAGTATCAGCTGACAAATCTGCTCCATTTTCCTGTCCTTCTCTCAGTCCTTGGCTAGAAAGTAGACTCCATGAAGGCAGACTTTGTTT